CTCCTTCATCAGCTGTCTTCCAACAGGGAAGAAGAAGCAAAAATCCTTGACTACCAGACTCAGCAAGAGAAACTGCTGCCCCAGTTGGCAGCAGCCTATGCCTTTCATTTCATCAACGACTACCTGCAGGAGCTATTTGACAGAGGGTACAAAGAGATCCAGAGGAAGAACTTCGACACACTGCCGGAGGTGAGCTGCAGCAGGATTAGCTTGTGCAAAACTTCTCATCTCTAAATATCAAAGTATTTTATCAAACTGGACAAACATTCCCCTCACCACTAGATAACTGGAGAAGGAAGAAACGAGATCAAATAGTGTGTCCTAGGTCCACAACCAGTCAGCAACAGCATTTGCTTTACCGCCCGAAATTTTTCATTTTGGGAAGTATTGCAGAGTGAAAAGCCCTTGAAAAGCATGTCCATTTGATAAAAGCCTTGTTCCAAGTAGCTGGCGGCACAAAGCGTTATTTCACAACTTCATCCACAAACGCACATGCACATGGCAAATATTCACTTCTGAGATGAAACTAAAAACGTGACTTTTTACACAGAACATAAGATTTTGCAACTGGAAGCCTGAAATGAAAACAGACTCTGAACACAGGCAGCCAAAGCCACCGCTGGCTGAGAGAAACCCCAAAATACATAAACTGACCACAGCGTGCCCAGCACGAGGGTGTGCAGATCCCGGGCAGAAACTAAAGGCCAGGCTCAGGGAGCCGGCTGCTACACCAGCATGCAAAGGAGGATCTGACAGGGATTGTAAGCCCAGAAATTGCACAAAATTTTTTAAAAAAAGGAAACTTATTCTGAGGATTGCTTTATCACACTTTCACCATTAACACTCTGCCTTTATTTATTTTTATTTTTTTTTTAAAACAGCTCCATGCATTTTCTTCGGGCTTTAAAGCCATGGTTACTCAGCACTGCACTTCAGCGGTGGAGATCTGCCTCCGGGCATGTGGGGGACATGGTTACTCCTTGCTGAGTGGACTCCCTTCCTTGTACACTAAAATACTTGCCTCTTGTATTTATGAAGGGGAAAACACCATTTTGCTCTTGCAAACTGCCAGGTAACAATTCAAATCTGTTCATCTAAAAGCCTGCCCCTTCATTTATTCAACCTCTACCACTTCTTCTCCAAAACCAGTAAAACCAGCTATTCCTTTCTCATAGCACCCTCTAAAAATACAGCTCAGGACATAAACTATTCATGTCTTCTGTCTAACAGGCATGGAGGTGTGTGGGAATTGGATTCTCTCCTCTATTTTTGGTTTTGGGACGTATGCAGGTGCTGTTCTGCATAACCTCATTTTCCTTTGTCAGCAGCAGAAGCATTGCTATACAAGTTTTGCAGTTTATTTTTTAAGCAGCCAGTGTAACATGATACTGGTAAAGGGAGGTTGATTCAGAGAAGACAAAGTTGTTGGATACTGAAAGCGGATGAGTCATGCTCCAAGAACACCACTTTCCTCCAAACACAGACTGTTGATTATCCAGAGTAGATGAAATACAGGAGAAAGAAACCACAGCTGCTTGAACTTTTAATAACGTGTGTTTTTACTCGAAAGACAAAACCAGTACACCTCCCAGGGACAGAGGTGCTACCACATCACTCTGACCTTGCATGCACTCATTACTGCCTCTTCTTGCAAGATCAATAACAAGGTCAAAAGAGATGCTATAAATTTTTAATTCCAGACCTGGTCAGTTTAGGTCATAGCAGAGGTGCCAAAAAAATAAGGTAGTGGGGAATGCTCCTTGGACACATGTTTAGCTCCAAGAAAGGGTCTCGTGTTTGTTAACACAACGTGACTGTGTGTTGGGGATCACAGAGGGTAAGACCAAACCACCATTAAGACTCCAGCTACAAAGTTGATAATGTATGTAATCACCATGCTGCTGAGACTGCTAATAGCCACAGCAAGTTTCTTCCCAAAAATTCATCGCTACAGATCGCTGTAGCATTAAATACGGCAGACAGGCTACCCCCGAGACCCAGGTTATTGTGAATAACACACAAAACAAAAAGTCATCACTTGTTCAAGTCCATTCTGGACCACTCATGGGATGGGTGGCACCTTGCTGCTCCTCACCTGAGGCTCACTTTACTTCTTGCGTTACTATTTGCTGCGTGGGGATCACAACCATACCCTGCTCTGACTGTCACCCTCTTCCCAGGTTCCTGATTAAGTGCTTTATGGCAGCCAGCGCTGGCCAACCTGTTCCACCATCTGTCACCTACCTGGCTGCAGTGAAACCCGGGAAGTGTCCAGCCAAGAACAAGTTGGATTTTCTCAGTCCAGATATTTACACTGAGGCCTATCAACATATGGCAGTCAGGTCAGTATGGAGGACAGGAGACGGGTTTCTCTCTTTGACATTAGAAATGTGTTCAGAGCTCAGCTTCTTCCTTGCTTTAAAGGGAGGTAAAATAACATTCAAGTTACACAAGAACTGACACCATCTGCTCCTGAAAGAGAAAAGGAAGACTCACGCAGGATTAACAGTCACATCAAATGTTCAATACGAAGCTTTCACATTCAGAACATAAGACATTTCTAAGCCACGTGCTACCTAACAACTATATTCCATAGCATTGTTCTATACCGAGCCAATGACACTATTTAAGTAAATCCCAGACCACATCACTGAGTTGCCATCCAGTAAAACCTTTAGGCAACTGGACCCTGTGCAATTCTAGAGAGAAAGTTAAAATTTCACATACCTGTGAAACTGGCATTTGTTTTCAGTTACCACCACAGCAAACACAGAGCCTCTCATTCTCTTTGTAGCCTTTCAACTACATATTCAATTACTCAACACAAACAAAAACAGTGGTCTCATTAGTATTCTGTGCACGGTTATGGGCCATATATATGTCATTTCTGAAAACCAAGTGAACAGAGAGACAACCCTGCTGTCATTCAAAACAGCGTAAAAACAGCCATTCTTCCAAAAGCTGCGCTGTCATCGGGACCAGGATTTGGATCCCCAGGTGGAAAAGTAGAAACATCATGTAACATCAGTCCAATATTATCACCACTTTATTTTGTTTTGCAAACTCCCCTTACACATACACAACCCAAGAAAACCTCAGCAGACCCCGGGTAAACTGCCCTGGAAGCTGAGAAGGCAGAAATCCTTCAGTACTGGAGTGGTCCGGGTGCTTCTCCCAATTTGTACTTAGATTTTGCATAACCTAAGTTTGCTCATACTGAGTGTAGGTAACTTCAAATGTCAGAAATGCCATTTTGCCATACGATTACACACGAGTCTGAGTATGAAATCAGTGCACGTGGGCTGCTATATTCATATACAACATGCTTTTTCAATTTTCCAGACTCATAAGCAGCACAGCAGCTAAACTACAGGACTTAATTCAGTCTGGAGTCAAAAAGCACGACGCTTGGAACCAGTGCACAGTGCAGCTGGCACAGGCTGCAAAGGTTAGCAAAATTTATTTGCTTATTTGATGTTTGTCTTTATGATACAATATGCAACAGAAACAGCATGAGTAGCTTAAAGTCTCTGCACTGTTTATTGTTTTCTGTTAGCATCCAAAGGACACCACAAAGACCAGGGCACCACTGTGGCCTGCACAGTGGGAAAATCGAAGTAAGAAGCAATTCCTGATCTGAAGAATTTGCTGCCTGAATAGGCCAGATAGAAAAAGATTAGAGGGAGTAGAAATGAAAGGCAGAAAAAAGAAAGTACATTCACAGTTAAACCACTACTACTGGCAGAATCAGACCTCCCATACCCTGCAACAAGAGCCCACCATCTCCAGCTAACACTCATCTTTTTGCAAGGATCCAGCATTTCTGGCTCCCAGAGGAAAGACTCCCCAAAGCCACCCTACTGAAAGCTGGTGGAGTCCCAGCCAGGGTGAAACATGCCTGGTATTTCTTACATCTACCTCTCTCACAAGGAAATATAACTGCAGGGAAAGCAATGAAAGGCAGTGGTAACTGCAGTGTTAATTACTACTGAAACAAAAATCAAATCACAGTCAAATTAGTAAGAGATTCAAAACCAACTCCCAGTTCACATGGATTAGAGGGGTAACCAGCATGCCTTCTGCTGAAGTAGGATCAGGACAGCAGCATTTGTTCCCCAAAACAGGGATTAGTTAGTACAGAACTAAGCAGAAATGAAAGCAAGAGGGGAGAAAAGCTGTAAATTCAAATGAAAACCGAAATCACTGACACTTCAGTATCTCAAAAAAAAAAATTTTTTTTTTAATATGCAATTAAGCACAATTCCTCTACAATTATAGTGAAGGTCTTCCTTCCTTCCTAACCTGAAGAAAGGAAGATTTTTGAAACAGATCCACATCTTATTTTAACTTGGTTCAGTTTTTAATGAAAACTTGCTGTCATCTACCATTCAGCCAGAGCCAACCCAAATGGAAATAGACTTAGCAAGAAGCCCCTGACAGGGAAAAGGAACCCTACACATCCCTAACTGTGGTAATACTATCTTGGTGATTTCATAGTAGGGAACAGCTCCCTTGTAGTCAATTAGATGAAATCTTTGATGAGTCAAATTATTTCTCAGCAACAGCCAAGATCCTTTCAAACCATCGGAAGTGTTGATCTGCTCATACCGGTAAGGACGGTTATAATCCTTCTAAACAGGAACTCACTGAGTAAGGGAGCAAAGACTTGATCTAAGCAGCAGCATTTTTTGTGGTCACCTCCCTTTTTCAATTACACAGACTCAGTGGAAGCAGCAAGTAGTCAATGCTGTAAGCTTGAAAAAGAGCAGGAAAACTGCAATTGCCTGAAAAATAAAGGAGACCTCCTAGAAACAAAGTGATTTTTTAAAAATTAATTTCCCAATAATTGTTTAAACGTAAATATACTTTTAGTGGAATGAAACTGAAGGAAAACCCTCCTGTTGGAGATTACCTCTTCTAGAGGCTCTGACCAGCTCTCCCCCCACACAAGCCTGAACAAGCTGTTCCCTCCTGCACCAACTCAAATGGGTGGCTGAGTTCTCTGGACTGAAGAGCAGGAGAGACCATGTGTTAGAGGAGTAACTGGAATCCAGCTCTCTCCGAGAAGCAAGGAGGAGAACCTAGACACAGGACTAGTCAGAAATGAACTAGTCCTGAAGAGCCTAACATATGCAGAGGGCTGGCTGTGGTATTGTCAGTGGTGATTGTGCTGCTAGACTTCAGAAAATGGGATCTGGGCCCCCAGAGTTTCTTAGATACTTCAGAGAGAAAGAGTCACCCCAAACCCTTGCGTTTCCCCCATAACTTTAAAACCTTGATAGCCTACTGCATTGCTGGGGCACTTATATACTTACTCCTTATTCCACACCTTCCCTGGAGACTCACCCACACGACTGGCACGGCAGCTACATGAACTGACGCCTGCCAGCTCTCAGCCGAGTAGCTCAGACACTGGGTACGGCTTTGCTGCAGACTCCACACAGTTTAATTGCTTGAGCAGACACCCAGCTTCTCAGGCAGGTTCTGCAGTCCATGCTGGTCTCCATGCTGTTTGACCACGCCAGCAGGAAGAGCTGCAGTGCAGGCGTGCCGTGCTTACACCCACAGCCAGGAGGAGAACTGTGCAGTGGGGGAGTGAACCTACACAGATACCAACACGACCAACCACCCACAGTAATGTCAGCATAACAAGAGTCACTCTCACAAACAGGTGGAGTCAGCCTGCTTCATCCGCTCTGGACCTCACCTAGTATTTCTGTAACCTGGCAGTTAGACACTCTACTAGCGTACAACTTACTCAAAACCACAAAAGCAAGAGGTGAGTTTGGTTGTTCTTCTGTGACAACAGATGTTTTCAGAGCTAAAGCCCTACAGACACTGAGTTCAGTGTACCATAAGCCCAAGGTCTTCAAGAAAAGAGTTTTCTCCTGTTGATGTATAACCAAGATTCACTTGCTAGGAGTCAACACAAGCACAATCGAGTGCTTTCCCATCACACAAACTCTTTGGGGTATTCATCAGGAATATTTAGAATAAGTCCTACCATGAAGCAGTTTTCTGAAGTTTACAAATACCACAGTGTTGACTGTTGACACCCCCAATTCTCTCCTCTGCTGTCGCTGTAAGACATGAATGCAAAAGACCTGGTCAACCAAACAAAGAATACAGACTGGAATAGTGCCAGGGAAATGAAAAGGTTTTATATTCTTTGCGAGAACATTTGAGTCACTTGGCCTACTAAAAGTGTTTTGAGGTGCATTCACTGTTGATTGCATTTGTTTTCCAGGCTCACTGCCACTACATCACAGTGAAAAACTTTGTAGAAACTGTGGAAAAACTCGAGACCAAGGCTGGCATCCAAAAGATTATGAAACATCTTTGTGACCTCTTTGCATTACACGGAATCTTCTCAAATTCAGGAGTCTTCTTACATGATGGATACATATCTGGAGCTCAAATGGACATGGTCACAGCATCATACCTGGACCTCCTGGCTGTCATTCGGTGAGCTGCTCTAGCATAAGAGAAGATACACAGCTATTCAGTTTGTCCCTGTGACAGATATAAAATGGTGCTGCTGTACCTATGGCAACATCTCCAAAGTCAATTCACTTCATTCAGTTTTTATTTTCATTGCCTGGCAGCACTAGAAATTGATTGAAACATTTACACGGAGCTCGTTTTCACAGCACAACAGACCTAAGTGTCCAGCTCCTCTGCAATCTCTAAATTAAAGTTCTGTAACATCAAATCTTGAAATTAAAAATCAAGAAATCCTGAACACTTTCTACCAATTGCAGTAGAGCAAAAGCAGGAAAACACATAGTCAGAGCAGCACTGGCAGGAGGCAGCCACAGCAACCCATCATACACTGCAAAATCTGCTTAAGCCGCAGCTAATACAGACTACTCTGTTGCCATGGCTGAGTTGCAACTGGTACCCAAACACTCCTGCCTACAGCTCGTGCAGATTCATCTGCTCGACACCATTTATTACCAGCTACATGAATTCTGAGATATGCTAAGGTTTTAACTTACCACAACACTCACAAAGGCTTTTTGACAAAGGGTTTACCTTTCACCACTCAGTGCTGTTTGTTAACAGCAGATTTACTTACGGTGCAGAGAAATGAGTTGCTACTGTATGTAAAATTCTACTTAAGCCACCTGGAGAGCAACAAGAACACATCATAACCAAGAGCTGAACACGACCGAGCCAAGCAGCATTTTCAGAACTGATCACAGAATTCAAGTTAAGCAATAATGTTTTCAAAGGACTAACACATTGTCACCTCTGGAATTCATTGCAACATCTCTGTCTTAGTCCATGCGTTGTTAACAGGATTCAAGAATGGAGTGGGTATTTACCTGGGTAATTACAGTCAGTTATTTACAATCAGCAGAAAGGATACAAACACTACTCTGTCTGTAGGAAAAACCCAACTCTTCCCCAAAACGAATTGGTAAATGCAAATGCCAACATTTGAGCAAACCTCTTTGCACCCCTGTACTTCAGGTGTGGGCCACAGCCGGCATGACTTCCTGCAATGGGAGGACAAGGAAAAAGAAACCATCTCCTGCTGAGGAGAAGATGCTGTCATTACATACTTGTCCTCATGCTCTAGCTGTCTGTTGCAAACTGCTGTCAGATTGGCCCCTGGGCTAGATGGGCCCTTGGTGTGGTTTAGGGTTGCTTTGTTCTTCTGGATACAATGAGAGTAGAAGAGCTTGACACACCATGATAAGGTGATAGAAATACTTAAAAGTAGATGAAGGTTGGAGATCAGCAAAGCACTTCACATCAGTCTAGCAGTGACCTTATTCCATTTTGTAAGACACACACAGCATAAGAAAAACAAAATACAATGACAAAAACCAAAAGCAAGAAGAGAGTGCTGAGAAAACATCGGACATGAGATTGAGTCCTAAATTAGGGAATTAGGGATGGACCCCAGATGATTACAGGACTTTGCAAATACCCATTAAACAGTACAGACAACTCAGGGCATTCGCAGAACATTCCTCTGAGGAATCAAAAGAAGCAGGATTGTCCCCACAGTGTAGGCAAGAGGAAAAAACAGCACAAGCTTTTTTGCTGAGGAACCTAGACAACCGACTTTCAAGCTTACTTTTAATTTATTTTCCTTCCTTACAAAGTAATACCCGCTTCAGTAATAATGACTGTCATTCACCTGCTCCTTAGGAAGGATGCTGTCCCACTAGTGGATGCTTTCGACTTCACAGATAAGAGCTTGAATTCTGCACTTGGCAGTTACGACGGACAGGTTTACCACCGGCTTTACGAGTGGGCTCAGAAGTCACCGACCAACAAGCAGGTACGGATGCTGACCATAGCCAGGCAACTTCTGCAGTAGCCAGAGCAGAAACTGTTTACTTTTATCTGTACTGCTTTTATTGAAAGAAAAACAAGTGGAATAAGAACATTTAATTCTTAGTATCTCACTCTGAACAACAACCTGTGATACTCCCGTTATGCCACTTACAGTCTTAGCTCAAACGTTTAACCTGACGGTGAGTTACAGCCCCCAGAGTACTAAAGCTTGTACCAAGGAGCTGGACTGTCCTGTGCCACCAATGTGTTTTGAAACTTGTATAACTGAGATAACATTGCACAAAAGAAGCTGGAACAAAAGTCTGTTTACATAGTTTACATATTATGGAACAACACTAGGCTGCAAGAGCCACTCATTGCAGGGTATCTTCCATTCACTGGTACTTTTACTAGTGCAACACTTAAATTTTTTTAATAATATGTTTAACCAGAAGGAGTGTAAATGTTAAACAAGGCAATTTCATCCTTCATGGTCTTTAGCACTTTACTTTCACTTCTTAATTCATCCATATTGTGGAGTAATGTAAAATTCTGCATGATGCAAATAGCTATTGCTCTGTTTGAAAACTCATTTTGCCTTCAGTGAGATTTTTACTGTGGTAATCAGCAACCCTTTGAAATTCTACAGCTGAACACAAAATTTGCCTTCAGCAAACATTCAAGTTCAAGCACACTTTTTGAAGTTAAATAGTATGCTGTTCCATTTGGGATGAGTATTGTCT